CTATTAAATACTTGATCATCATTATTATAGTCTGTGTCATCAATAGTTTCCCGTTTAATAACTCTATTAATTACTTGAACACATCTAAAAAAAATTGCAAAAAATATATTATTTATTATTCAGTAAGCAATTAGTGCTTAAATCAGATACAATGTATGGTACTTTTTTGTTATCCCTACTACCACGACTACAATAGCACTATCCCAATAGTTCTGTATTTTAATACATAATACACATGAATTGCCATTTATATAATAATAATAATGTATATTAGTATAACGTTTATTATCAATTATCACATAAATTATCACAGTAGTGGAGAGTTTTAATATAGAACATAAAATCATCAAAATTATCAAAATTATCACAAAACGTCAAATTAAAAATTCTCATAAAATCATCAAGATATTAAATATATATATAGAAAAATAGAAAGGTGGACAAGTGGGTACCGCTCTGTTTTACAGTAGTTGTCGAGTATGTCATTGTAATGGATGTGTTATATTTGAATTCAATGATAAATTATTGGATACGAAAAACGATACGATTCTGAGTGGAGACGGTGCGAACAGTGATCAATGGCGCCGAACACGTATGGCTACTGGGGTAAATACCCCATACATTTTGTAGGTGGTGGGTCGGTAAGTGGGCGAAGAATGGTTCTCCTTCGATGTTTTGTCTCCAGATAAACTCCGCCCGATAGGACTCCAAATGATGGTGTCTTATATCTTCAGTGAAGCCCCAAAAATGTTCAATATGCTGAGTAATGACCACAGTAACTGGGTCAACAAAGTTATGAATATGATTGACTGTACCATGCATGTGTCCGGCTCTGGTTAGTTTGTGTGTATTATATCCACGCCAACTGTCTGAATATGTGGTTGTACCTACCTTTATATTATATTGTTTTATTGCAGTTGAATGTGTTTCCTTTGTACGATTAGGAACTTGGATCAGAAATGTCTCCTTTGTTTCGTGACAAATGCCTCCAAATATCCACTGTTGTGGTATTATCCTTCCAGCATCGTTCTTTCTTTTTGAAAACATACTCTTGTCGATTTCAAAAATATTTCCTGGTCTTTCGATTTGTATTTGAAAAAATTTCATTTTTGATGATGTATATTTATTTTTTTTATGACAGTTTTTGCATTCACGGTGTCTCGGAAATTATCCCTTTTTTTTTCCGACAACAACGGAAATACAACAACTGTCAGCAACAGGTAATCAAGCGAACTGGCGGTAGTCGTGGCATTGGCGGGGTAGTCGAAACAACAGAATTGAGATTCGCGGTAATAGAGATAACAGAAAAGTACCCAATGTATTAATAAATTACATAAATTATAAAAACACCTAATTTTGAAATGTAGATAAAGTTTCATATTTGTGTAATGTTTCACTACCTAATAGTATATTTTCTTACTTGGAATTTATTGCAGAATCATTGATAGATATTCTTGATGGTTTCATAATGAAGTTTGTCCTTCTTAGTACTTTTTGATTCCTGTGAACATATACCATCAAAATTATATACTTTTTAAGACAAATTGGTCGTCGGGGAGTGTGAATTGTAGGCTGTATATTTGGTCATTTGAAAGTAAAATGTCTTTTTTGGTAAGCATGTGCACCCTTCGTCACCACTGTTTTAAACTCATAACTGGCCATTAAAAGTAAATCAAAATTAAAAACTGTAATTATTATTTAGTAGTAACACCAAATTTCATCAATGGAAAACACAAAAATATTTAACTTTTTTATAATATAATATATAGATAGGAATGGTATGTTGTTCTGATAAAGTATGGTATTGTAATTTATTTATTAATTATCTATACTATTATATAAAATTGTAAGGGTTTTCTTCAACCGCGCTAACCAAGAAAACTACTGAACCGATTTGACAGAAATTGTTTACGTTTATATCTGACAGTCTGCTGAAGGTTTTAGTACCACTTTTGTTAATAAAAAATAAATATAAAATTCTTGAAAAATTAATCTAATCTAATTCTTATATATATATAAGAGAACAGGCCATTTTTATGTTCCAATTTTGTGACTACACTATTTAATATTTTACCAATTTTTATTCACAGAGTTGTTCCAAATACCTTCCTGAGTGTCGCCGTGTAGCCCAATTTTTATTTTTTTTATCGGAGGAAGGGAGAAGGGAATCTATATATTAATATATTATATAAATAAAATCCAAATATCACTGACTCACTGATTGCTGTATCTCATAAACTACTCAATGTATGAACTTTAAATTTAGAATAGTGGTTCTTCTAATACTTTCACCATGCAATAAGAAAGGATTTGGCAAAAATTGCATTTTAAAGAGGTGCTCAAACAGGGACATTGAGGTTCACATTGAAAATTTTATTTTTAATTATTAATAGTTCCCATCAATTAGTGTTTATTTATTATCGGTTGCCATTGTTTATTTGGGAAGATCAGATATAAGCTTGCATCAAATCGAATTATTGAACATTGCTTACCAAGGTGATTGGTGAAAAAGTTGCCCAAGTAATCGGATTGCCTACCAGGGTCGCTGAGTTGCACTAACTGCAGGCTGCAGCAAGTTACAAACAAAAGTAGTTGAACAATCATAAATTTTTAAGATTTGCGATTTTTTACGGGTAATGAAGTGAACGGGTTCTGATATAAAAATATATTTACCATTAATACTGCTAGAAACATTTGAATACGTTTTCATTAAACGATAAAATTTTAATAAAAAATTATACATATCATCGTCCGAAGGCAAATAAACAACCAATCATGGGAGGAAGCTGTGACGGGTCGGCTAGTAGTAAATATAGCAAATTAAACTCAATAATAGTTTGTATAACAATTATAATAACAAGTTAATAAAATTGTTTATCAGTATATTATATGTACAAATAATAGATGAAGTGATACAGACGAGCAAGAAGTAATAAATTAATAAGATAAATTGGAGCAAAGGGTCACAATTAATTGGTCAGCCTAAGTGTTCTGTGCATTAGATGATTACGAGTAGGGTTCAGGACTACTTCTATTTGCAAAACAATCAAAAATATTTCTCAAAATAAATTATTTCACGATAGTTTAAAAATGCCCAAAACATGCAATATAGTGTCCAATGTTCATCATATTAATCAATATATATTCTAATTTTAGTAAACCCGAGTAAATTAGTGTATAAATTATTTTTATTACTTATTTTAGTTTTTTATTTCCAAAATTGTAATGTTTCAAAAATAATATAAAAATTTAGCTCTATATATTTCAGTATATTTTGACTACATAATTAGATAATTTTTAGTGCAACAAGTCCCGAACCCGCCCGAACCCTAGTGATTAGTTATGTGAGACTGTGTAAATCTCGAGGTATAACCAGAATAGTCATAAAATGGATAATTATTAATTATACCAAATTCATGTGTAGATAAGTTTGTTTTATGCATACCTACACAATATAATAGACATTGAGTTAGGTAGGTATTAAATTTGTATTTTCTTAACAGGACTCAGGACGTAGCACCTGTGTAATATGTTGTATCCATCTTACACACGTACGGAATAGCAAAAACATTATGGAATGGAAAAGAACCGAGAAGTCTACAGTCACAACTAAGAAACTAAATTTTCACCACATATAAAGGAGAACTTTGACTGTGCAATATCGTTTTTTATCTTTTGGTATCACTTATAAAAAAAAAGTTCTTATTGTTTCAAAATCCATTATTATTTATCTAGTTCGGCTAGATAGTGTGACAGACGACAGTACTATCATAGTATCATGACAGCTACTACCAAATGATTTAAACCATGCGTCCATGCCAGTTCCTTGACAGCAACTGTCACCGTGTAAATGCGCCTTTAGTTATGACAGTGGCGTTCTCAGTTTTTTACCGTGCAAAACAGTTTTTTGCTATGTTGTACATTTGTAAGACGGAGAGACACATGCAGGTGGAACGTCCTCTTAATATAAAATATTATAAGCTGTTGGAAGACATAGGTACATTTATTAGTAGTACTTACTATTATAGTTACTGATAATTCACACTGACACTGTATTACTATAAAATATGATTTTGCTGTTTTGGCAATTTGGTTTAGTATAGTTTAGTTTAATGCTGAATGCTAAGTGCCAACTTTTAGTAAGAACAGCAAACAATTAATAAGAACCAAAAAAAATAAACTAGTTATTAATTAAATTATTTATTGCCATTTGTTTAGTTTAGTCAGTTATAACCTTATAAGTTATAGGTAGTAGCACGATATAACGAGGTTTAGTATAAGACACTTAAGTCAATTACCTACTTTAAAATCAGTTAACTGAGACGTTAGTAAAGTATTTGGTGTTAGAATGGTTAGGTGTCAAGGCTCATGTGGCGGCTTTCCGGCTTCGTGCAAACAAAGTAGAGTGGTGTCCTCTGTTCTCATAATAATAATAGATAAAATGGATTTATTTTGTCATGGGTATTCTTACTTAGTAGTTAGTGGTGTAAAGGGACAACATGTCAACATTGTCAACATTACAACAATAGACAGTTACTGTTCGACAAGGGAAGTTGGAGTGGCGGCGCCAGTGCTGCCAAACATGGTGATGCGAAAAATCCTAAGATTTCGTACTTTTTCTGAAAATAAAACAACACATTTTTTTTCTATGTTCTATGGGGCATGGGCATAAATGATAACGTTGATTGTTGATAACCAACGATAGCGTTATCTTTGAATAATAGAACTTTCCAAATTTCCAATAATATTTAATATTTTCAAGTTTCAACGTTGTCGCATCGATGAACTAATATTTTGTTCCTCGATTGAGTTCATTAAATTATTTCTTCATTTTAATACGTTATTTTAAATAATGTTGTGCTTGAATTATACAATCACACACACTTATATTATTTAGTCACATTTAGTATTACTTTTTATAAATCATTGTACAAGTAATTATAGTACTTATTAAATATTATGATAATTTGTATAGTACATTTTTTTGAAATTAGATCAGTATGGACGAAGACTGTTCAGTGCTTCAAGAAGAGGAAAGAGAAGCCTTGCTTTCCATTTATGACGGCGATGAAGCTTTTAAGCAAGTTTCTCCTACTGTTTATCAATACAAGGTAAGAAAGTACTGAACAAGGTATACCTATTTCTTTTTAAAATTGAAAATGTTTTTATTAGGTGTGAACTGTGAATATTCAATTTTTAGTTTGATATTTTGAACATTTGTATTCTGATGGTAGGAGATTCACATCTTCCTAAACATGAAACCCATACTCCAAAAAAAAATTATTGTACCCAAATCAAGCTAGTGGTGGAATTTTATAGGATAGGTATTTACTATTTCATGAAATATTTGTACAAAATATTTTTATTGACTATGTCTCATAGTTTTATTTTTAAAATAGTAGCTATAGACCAAATGATTTAATATGATAAAATAATTGAATTAAACACTCATTTTTAATTTTAGCAAAAAAGTTGGAATTTTGGAACTGATGTTGTTTTAAAATATTTCATAATTTATGCAAGCTTAAAATTTTTGTAACGTCATTCAATTGATTTTTATTAGTTATACATTTAAAAATCAAACATAGTCTTTAAAATGTATTTAAATCTGTATTCACATCACTTATAAATATTAGTTCTTACTAGTAATTTTCAGTACTCTCTCAGGTTTTTGGCTTGGAAGGCTTTATACAACATTTAATGACAAATACAATTTTTGTACCAAATAGTACACATCATTATTAGTTTAATATCATTTAATTTATAATAACTTAATTTTTTTTTAACAGTATGGAGAAGATAGTGACAATAAATCCTTTCTATTGGAGGTTGAATGGCACAACAATTATCCAAATGAAGCACCTAAAATAAATTTAGATATGTTCTACAATAAACACATGTATGGATAAATTTATTAGGAAATGTACATGTGTAATATAATGTATGATTTGGATGATGTAACGTCAAGCTTAGCTGTCTAGTTTCAAATCATTTATAAACAATACATTAAAATCATTTTAATTTTTTACTTTAATGTACATTTAATATTTATCAATTAATTTATTATTTGTCTAAAATGTTTGGTTTATATTTTATAGTTTTATTGAAAAATGAACTTAAATATTAATAAAATATTTTAATAGGTAACAAATAAACAGTTCCTAACCAAACTTCAGTTTTAAAACTAACTTTTGGTTACTTCACTCTTCAACATACTAAATATTACTTCATAATACATTAAATTTATAAAAATGTTAATATGATATAAACATTTTAGAGTAAGTTCAGTTAAAGAAATTATTAAGGATAAAATTTCAAAAGAGGCTGATCATTATTTGGGAGAATCTATGACATTCACTCTTTTTGAATTTCTTAAAGATTTTGCTGAGGAACTTGTAGCTAATCAACCAGATAAAGAAGTTACTGAAAGTATAACTAAACTTGTATGTATTTTAGTATATTAATTTTATCATTAATAAAATACATTATAATTAGCATTACAATTTGTACTTTTTAGTCGATAGACGATGATGAATCTACAAAAAAGACAACAAAGAAAGAAATTATGAGCAAAGCTCAAAAGAGAAAACAATGGGATCGTTTAGATTCCAAAGGAGAAAAACCACGAGGATATGATTGGATAGATGTTGTTAAACATTTATCACAAACGGGATCATCCAAGGTAGAAATATCTACGTAATTAAGTTTAATAACACTGTGATATGAATTTGAATTTTTGTTTTTGTGAAAAATATATTTTCATTTACAATATTAACATTGCTTAATATTTTTTTTATCCAAATGTTTATAATTAATCCATTAAATCCTGTCACCAAGAAGCCCTCCATTCATCAACTACTAGGTGATGACTTGTACAGCTCCAATCTAACACAATATTAAAATGTTAGTTGTGAGTCATCGATAAAATAATAATATGTATATACCTGACATTTTAGCATGCAGGAGAAACTTATCAAAGTTTTTATTTACAAACTCGCATGATAGTTGAACATACTCCGAATGTGTGCAACAAAATTGAGTGTTGGTGGATGTATATTTCATCTATGTACAATTTTTAAAATATCTTATGTATTATGTTACTATATACTAATGTAAACTATTCTATTTAATACTTACAGAACGAAGAGAATTGAGTTTTATCAATGAAAATTTATTCTTGGGACAAATTAAATGGCCTAATATATTAGCATGAAAGTAGGCTTTTAAAATATTTTCAGTATTAATATTTTTATCTAACACTACACGTATGATGTCCTTATGTGTATCCACAATTAATATATAAAGATAATCTTTATACAGTTCAATGTGATCTATTATATCCCATGTAGTTAATGTGTTTGTATACAACAATTCATGGACAGATGTTCCCAATTGTATTTTAAAAGAACACAGATTTTCATCTAAAAAATTAAAAAAATTTTAATCGAGCAACTTTAAATTATTACTTTTAGTTATTTAAGAAAAATCTACATAATAGTATTATTGATTAAATTAATTAAATTGATATCTATAAACATGTCTACAAAAGGGGTCTTCAACCTGCCTTGTCTTTTTTTGAGCCTGTGAACACATTTTAAGCATAGCATACATTTTTTTATTATAAATGCGGCCTGAGCGAGTTTTTAATATAATAGGAGGCCAGCTGGCTGCTACCCTTAAAAGGTTGAAGATCCCTGATTTAAACTTAAAAAAAAAAAGAAATGTTTTACTATAAATCTGTTACTAATCTTAGTGATATTGTAATATATTAATTTTGTATGAAGATATTATAGAAATTAACAATTTATTATGTTAAGTTGATAGCGCTATAAATACAATTTACCTTCTAAAAAACAAGCTTCTCGTTTATTAATATAGTCAGGTTTTTGTACATCGTGGTTTTGTGTATCATTAGATAAATAATATTTAAGAGTCAAATCATAACGTGCACTGTTGAAAACATTGATATTTAAGCTTTTGACTGCTTTGTAGTTGGCAAACAAATGCAAAGAAGTTACTACTAAGTATATCATCCATATCAATCTAGAAAAGATGTTATAATCATTTACATAAAGATTTTATAACTTAAAAACTAAAAGGGTGTTGTATAGGAGGTTTCCACAGTAACGAAAAAATAATAAATGTTAATGTATCTTCATACTTACAAAATACGGTTTTCAACAATTGGTAACATAATTAATCCAATAAGAAATGCAATTAGATTAATACAAGTTTCTTGACTACCGTCTTTTGCTGAAACATCTCCCATATTATCACGAATAGCCTATTTAAAGTAAAAATATATTATATAGGTAAATATGTACATACTTAAAATGTAAATTTATATTTTTAAAGTTAACCTTTAATTATTAAACAAGATGTTGATAAAAAATTGTAAATATAGGTAATATAGGTAATATTCCAATAAATAACTACCTGGTGCTGTGTTAATGCTGCACGCGTGGCTCCTCCAGCAACACTTACTATGGACTTAGCGCAGCTTGAAAATGATAGGATTATTAATGAAAACTGTCTAATGTATGGTATGCTTAAAAGTAATTCAATGAAAATTGCCAAATCATTAAGTGCATCAGCCCGAAGTCTCCACTTTTTGCATTGTGTATCCAATTCAGATCTGAAATCAATGAATTTTATAAATCAAATAAATATTTTTTTACAAATAACTTACATAGGTGCTTAAATATATTATTTAAATAAAAACAATTACATTAAAAATTATTAGTAAATATCTATATTAAAAAAAAAAACTTGGAATTGGTGCAACTAATCTACATTTTAATTAATATGGAAATATACCCTTTACACCAGGCAAAAGTAATTCGCCCGACCATACCAGCACCATCTTTAAGTATATAAGTAATGGATGCAGCAAGAGCTGTAGCTTGAGCATCACCTACACCGACACCTTTCAAAATAGCATTCGTAGCTAATATGTTTGATATTGTACTACAAAACGCCTAAAAACAAATTTAGTTACAGTTAATCTACTAATAAATAATCTACTAATAATAATACTAAGTAATAATTTGTAAATTGATAAAAACTAAATTTCTATTCAATTATATGGGTCAATAGTTTATTTTTTAATAATTTAATAGATAAGTATTTCAAATTTTCAACATAATATTATATTAATCGATATCTACAATGCATTATTTTAGAGATGGTCATAATATGTCACCTGTATCGTATCCCAAATTTGATATTCGGTATAGTCCTTGCTCACACTATTTGGAAATCCTCTAGGCAAAAATACTTCTTTAAGTATATTAACTGAGCTACGAGCAAAGCCAGTGGATTGTTTCCGTCTTTCAGATTCCAATATCAATTGTCTTTGGTCTAAAAAAGAAAACAGTTACGACAGCTGCAAATACTGAATGGAATATTGGCGTTCAATTAAAAAGGCACAAGGTTATATTTTCTAAAGTTTACCAAATGTTATTGTATGAAGTGCTATTATGGACATAATATCATTGGTTATGTTCAATAAAACATATTGTGATATTAACGACAAGTTATGTAAATCTTAAGTTATTAAATAAAATGTATATTTTAATTTTAATTTTTGGTCAACATTAGGGGAAATTTCATTCTCTACTGCATTGAAACATATTTTGAAAAAAAAAAAACTAAACATATTAGTGCTTATTAATCAAATGCTCATGATAAGTAACTTGTTTTCAAATACCATGTCTTTTGTATATGACATTGCACTCTTCTGGTCCGTATTCTTCGCTCAGAAGTATTTCATCGCGATTTTTCGGCATACTTTTAGATTTTGAAGCCGTCGAAGGTTCACGCTCTAAGAGAACAATACAACGAAACGGTGCTTAAAGAAGTGCGTTCGACAGCCGAACTACGGCTGAATAAATTATGAGCATTGTCGATCTATAGGTACTGATTTTTTTCGTAAGCACTAAGCAGCAAAACGAAAGCCCCAGAAACGTTGTATTTCAATAGCGATTAGCAGCGACTGGCAAGTCGCAAGTGCCCCAAGTGGCGAATTATTCCATGACACGAACGTCGATTTAGTCGAACGTCACGGTTCGACGGTCCGCACGAGCTACGATATCGTGAAACAACGTCAACACAGTGACTGATAATATAATACTGTTATCACGACTCACTACATGACAAAAACAAAAACAACATAGGTTGTGGGAATAAAAATAATGTTTACCGTAAATCAACAATAATTTTTTACAACTTACGAGGTTCCCCATAAGTAGTTAAAATAGCAGTTGAGAAATATTAAAGATCCATAGGCACGATTTTTTTTATAAATGTTTAAATTTAAAATGTTGACAAAATCTCGAACGACTCGAACATTTTAAAATTCTTTTGTAGTTAAAAAATTATAAAATTTTCAATCCTTATTTAAATTCAATACAAGGATTCTCAAAGATATTTCAAATTTTAAACTACAAATCTAAAAAAAGGTGCTCTACTGTACAGTAGGAGTAGGTAAGTAGGTAGTAGGTTACAAGTGGGTCACTGTTTAATGGATGGTATTAAATTTGAATTCAATGATATAATATTATTGTATAAGAAAAACGATTCTGAGCGAAAACGGTTAGTCAGCCTATGATATTACGAAGTATACTTGATGATACTAAGGTGAATAAAGTAATTTATATGTAACCTATTTACATAGAATCTTGTTTTAAATTTTCAATCATTGGCTATAAAAGTTGAACATTTTATAAATTTTTAACTACAAAATTATTATTAAATTTTAAATGTGATACATTTTGTCAAAATTTGAACTTTAAATGCTTATAAAAAAAAGTTGTGGCCATGTATTTTTAATATTTTTCAAGTGCTATTGTAAAAATATATCAGGAGCTTTGCATTACATTTTCACGCTTTTGTACCCAACAAATAAAATTGTATTGATATTTATAGAAAAAAAAAACTAAAAAAAATGGAAACTGAAAATTTCCTTAAAGAGCTCAAAATATTTGGAAAATTTTATCATGAATAGAAAATGGAAATATAAACAACCAGTAAAATTTTCATGTATAGGTATAAATTCAAGAATACCTACTGAATAACGGTTTTATTTATTTTGTCGAGAATATTATTCGTGGCGGTAATGCGGTATATTATGAAACTTTTAGGGTAGGTACATCATTTTATACACACAATGACATTTTCAATTGTCATTTTTTTGGAAAAAATGAATTTAACCTACTGTTGTGACGTACAGGTATTGTTCTGTGGTTGTAATATATTAATCCGTGGGTTGTACTAATGCATAATAGTAAAAAAAAATACTTTAGGAGGAGGGCTATCCAGTGCCGTAACTAGGCTACTTGAGGCCTGTGTGCAAACCAAAATATTGAGGCCCCTTATTATCTTTTTCAATACACAACTCAAAAACTTTTTTTGCAATTTTTAAAGTCAGCAGACAAAAAAACCGGTCGACAATTCTGCCGATTTTTTTGTATTCAGAAGGGCCAGTTCTATAGACCATAAAAAAATTAGGTTGTACAATAAATAAATTAACAATACAATTCAGCCTAATTGAAAATATAATTTATTGTGATTTAAATAGGTAAGTTGGGAATTTCAATCTTGAAGTGGTTGAAAAATTGCAATATTTTATGGATATGGCAGAGTTTGCAAACGTTATAATAACATTATGATTATTGATTATAACGTTTTATTTTTTACAAAAAACGATACATGTTTGTAAACGTAATTATAACGGAATGCGATAATCAAAAATAATTAAATACAGCATAACAAAACATATAAAACGGTTTTAAATTCTTAAACTACATAGCGCTAGCGTTTTAACTTTCAAAACGGTTTGAGTATAAACCGTTTTAACGCCATCATATAAACCTAGTAATTTACTAGGTTAAAAAATAAATAATAAATAATTTATATATTTTAATAATTTTATATTAGTTTAATATTAGTCTTTAGATCTTCTGAGGCCCTTCGATATATTATGGGGCCCGAGAGTTTTTTACGGCACTGTATAAAACGCAATATAGGTACACCCCAACACATACACAAAAAACAATAATTGTAAAATCGCAATACGCATTGGTCGCGTTCCGTTCTGAATCTAAAAATCTTATAGGTACCTACAAAAGTATAAAGCGAGTATATATATTATATATACGACAGTATAGTAATATAATGCAGATCGACATATAAATCCTCGTTAAAATATTATAATACAATTATTATAGTGTACCTCTGCGTAAGTATATACAGTTAGAGTCGGTATACCAATAATAGTCGTAATAATGGCATTTGGAAAAATTAACGGGCCCGAAATCCAGCTGATGCCGGCCGTCGATTAATATAATAATATGCTGGCTACTACTAATAAACGATGTTTGTTTAAAATCATCGTCGACGGCCCAGGAATAAATACCGAAATCGGCACATTTGCAACTCTGAGCTCATCTGAGTATATAATCTGACCTAACCTTACGCGGACAAAAAAAAAACCTGAACGAAAAAATGGCTGCATCGCATATCGAAGAAAAGGAAATGGAAACAACTATCATGCAAATCTTGGGAAAAATAATAATCAACGTCGAGTACGAGATTATGGAAGAAGAACTTAAACGAATAGACGACATCGACCAAGAGCCTACCATCGGAGACCTGGAAGGACTTTTATCGTATGCGACGCGCTTCGCGGGGGACGACTACGTCCCGTCCAACGTCTTTCAACCGGTCGACAAATCTGACAAAATGGCAGAACCGGTTGAACCGATCGTTGAAGTGGTCGCGCCTCCGGTGCAGGAAGCCGCGAAAAAGGAGCTGGATGGCGAGGCGGTGGGCGCCACACCGGCCAGAGGACTGGAAGTCAGAAATAGTATCGGGATCTTGATTGGTTGGCTGGACCCGGGGGTCAAGGCAGAAACACGCGCAGCTCCGCGCAGTGCAACGGCGAGACTGGTGTCCTCTGCGTGGAGAGGCCTGACGAGAGCCGCACGCGTGTTGCGCTGTTGTTGTCCCCCGAAGTGAAACCGTCCAAAAGTTTCCCCCTGGCCGAGGGCAGCGGACAAGACGAGGCGACGTGTGGGGTTTCGAGGTAATAGGTACGCGGCAGTGCACATTCAGGTGGTGACCGGCGGTAAGTCGCCGATACACGTTCTCCGGCCATCCTGCGGCAGCGCGACGGGATCGCGGACGTTGCGAGCTCGAGGTCGCCGAGACACGCGAGACCCTCTGGCGGCGCGGCGGGCGCCCGGCTGCTTCGGTCCGGGAGCGACGACGACACGACGACGACGGAGGTTAGCAGTACCGGCGCGGACAATGACGCCGTCCCCGACACGGTACCTGCTCAGTGACGAACGATGCAGTGCTGCGCGACTCGCGTGACGGCGGCGACGGAGACCTCAGAGCTCACGGTGGGTGAGTGACGGATGACTATGATTACAGGGTATAGCTAGGAACGCCACGGACGTCAGCAGCGCCGGGCTCGAGGAAACGAAACGTTTCGTCGGGTTCGACGGTGCGCGGCTCCGTGGCCATCGGCTGCGGCAGACGGAGACGCCAGGGCGAAAATCACGGAGACTATCAGGACAGCGGCGCGTCGTCGCGAAGCTGTCTGCAGATTTTCTTCCTTTTTCGCCCAGTGGTCCGATCCCGAGTCGCAACGCCGCCGATTCCGCAGCTGCACCGAGATCGTAGTCGCCAGCTCGCCTCTCTGAGCTTTGCAGGTCACCGTCGTTGCCGGCACAAGCAGTCGTCTTCAGCACCCGCAGTACCGTCAAGCAGCGCACGACATCGCGCACTAGCCTCTCGTCGCCAATCGTCGCCGCTCTCGCAGCCGTCGTGGCCGGGCTTCGTCCGCTGCCATGGTCGTCTTGGCGGTCTCGAGCAAACTCGCCCGCGACTCTCGTCCGCCCCGCAGGACAGCCCGTGAGAACGTTGTAGAGGTGACCAGTGGCCATATACCAGTTACCAATACATCATCAGCACCACCAACTCGTCACCACGTACCCCCCCACATCGCGTCGTCTTGACCGATGCCTTTTTTTTTTTTGTATTTAAATTTTCTTTACTTATATCGAATAATATTCACTTTACAAATTTCGGCTTTTTCTTTTTTGTTCTAATTTTTTTTGAACATACAAAATTGTATAATAATATAACGGCAACCGTTTCCAAAATTGTTTCCGTTTTTGAAATTATATTCAAAATTAAAAAATGTTATATTGTTTTTGTTCGATAATTAAAAATAAATTTGTGAACACAAAAAACTATTGTTGCTTTTTTCGTATTGTCGAGTGTGTAAGTCAATTTTTACAATATAATAAAATATTGACTTTAGTTGTAATAATATTCTAAACTGAACAAATCTTGTAACAGATATCTATTACTGTACTCAGTGCCGTAACTAGGCTACTTGAGGCCTGTGTGCAAAACCAAAATATTGAGGCCCCTTATTATCTTTTTCAATACACACCTCAAAAACTTTTTTTGCAATTTTTAAAGTCAGCAGACAAAAATTCGGGCTTAAACAAAAAAAAATGTTTAATTTAAAATAATCTATAATTTTAAAACAATTTCTCAAGGCTATAACTAACTCAAAAAAGTAAAAATTGTCCAAAATGTAATTTATTGAAAATATTAATATAAATATTTGGTGAAAACTTCAATGGTCTACGGTTATTAGTTTTCGAGTTACACCAAAAAATAAAATTTTTAGTTTTAGGTAAAAATGACAATTTTTTTTTTTTTATTGAAACTTTTTAATATCTAAAACTAAAAATTTCGGTTTCTATATCCA